TACCCAGAAGGTATTGAAACGATTTGCAATTGATAAAGCACAAGTACTCCAATGGTCGTTAGAACTCTCGATCCTATTAAAAATCTTTTTAGACCAAAAGAGGAGAATGAGGAAGCACTTGGTCCTGAAGTACCATATTTAAGTGCTATTGGTGCACTAATGTATCTGGCTAACAGTACTAGACTAGATATAGCGTTTGCTGTAAATTTATTGGCCAGGTTTAGTGCAATGCCAACATAACGACATTGGAAAGGAATCAAATATATTTTCCATTATCTCCAAGGATCTATTGATCTTGGTCTATTATATCCAAAAGGATCTCGACATGAATTGATTGGATATGCAGATGCTGGGTATCTTTCTGATCCGCATAAAGCCAAGTCTCAGACTGGCCATATGTTTACTTGTGGCGATACAGTGGTATCTTGGAGATCCACTAAACAAACATTAACCGCCACATCTTCAAATCATGCAGAAATAATAGCAATCCATGAAGCCAGTAGAGAGTGTATTTGGCTAAGATTAATGATTCATCACATTTTACAGAATTGTGGTTTGAAATTTGAAAATGATAATCCTCCCACTATTCTGTACGAAGATAATGCAGCTTGTATAGCGCAACTGAAAGAAGGATATATCAAGGGAGAAAGAACGAAACATATTTCACCAAAGTTTTTCTTTACTCATGATCTCCAGAAAAATGGTGAAATAAATGTGCAGCAGATTCGATCAGACCAAAATTTAGCAGACTTGTTGACCAAGGCTTTACCGACCGCAACGTTCGAGAAATTAGTGAAGACCATCGGGATGCATCGGTTGCAAGATTTCAAATGATGTCCACATCAGGGGGAGCAATATTTCAAGTGATGTCCATAGCAAGGGAAGTATTTCTAATGCATGAATGACGTACTCTTTTTCCTTAACTAGGATTTTCGTCCCGTTGGATTTTTTCCTAGTAAGGTTTTAACGAGGTGTATTCATTGCAGTTAATGACACCTAAGGGGGAGTGTTATGACACATCATATATAATGATAGGTGTCATCTATTTATGTTGATGAATCACCCAATTTTGATGACTAATGATTTTGTAAATGATCTATAAATAAGCCCAAAATCTTGTGTAATAAATGGATGTGATTTTGATTTCATTTTACTTTGTCTCTCTATCGGCTCTCTCTCTTCTCATCTCTATAAATTATATACATACACTCATATATATATACATATATATTATATATTATTATAGTTATATTTTGTTATATATTTTATAACAATATATATATATATATTTCAATTGACTTGATTTACAAACTATTGTTGCCCTCTTACCTTTTTTTTTTTTTTTCTTAATACAACAAAGAAATAGAAATAAATTAATAAATGTTTAAGTTAATGTGTCCTCCCGGGTGTAGCTCCTTCACTTTTGCTTGTTATGTTGAAAATTGCAGTTATCTCGAAAGTTGTTTTTTTTGGGATTTTTGTTTCCAATTCGACCCAGAAAAACCAAAGAAATTTGAACTCTCTTAAATGTAGTATGGTCTCATTTATTATAAATGGATTAATTGAGATTGAATTGGATTAGATAAGGCTTGGACTTTGAGTTTGAGTTTCACATAACCTTGAGCTTGATTATATTAAATAATCAAAGATAAGCCCTGGGTTTTTATGGCCGTGGGTTAAGCCCAATCGAATTAAAATTAATTTAATTTAATTTTGTATTTTATTTGATTAATTAATTTTGACTGAATAAAATGAATTAAATTACTCCGGATAAAGTTAGACTATTGCAACAAATTGCAACATTTGGAGGGAAATTACGAGTTTTATGGCTTATTATAATTTAACATTCTTTCTAATAAATAATATACACAACTTACCAAAATATCCTACGTGTGAATCAATTTTGCCTCTCTTATTTTTTTTCTCTCCTTCGTTTTGTTCTCAGTTAAAAAACTTTCCTAAAAATTCACACTCTCAAAATTCTTTAACAAAAATATATTCAATTTTTTTAGTTAGATTTGTTGTGGGATTAAAGATTCATATTCGATTTGTTCTATCATGGGAAGCAATCCGTGATAGGCCGAATTGGCTTCAAGGAGATCGCGTGCAACACTTTCAGAATTCTTTAACAAAAAATCTTAAAAAATTTTCTGGTTTGGTTCATTGTGGAATTAAAGACTCCTATTTGATATGTTCTATCATGGGAAGCAATCAGTGCCGGACAAAATTTGCTTCAAGGAGATCGCGTGCAACTCGAGGCTTGGATTTTTGTGATATAAGATTTGTAATTTCGAATTTGTCAGATCTCAGATTTTCTTCAAAACTACAACAATCTTGAAGCAAATTCGGGTGAAAATCTGAGACAACTGACGAAACTTCCCAGATTCATGATCAAATTGCAGCTGCCCAGAAAGTACCTGATGACGAAGGAATGATCAACGATGTGCGCGATGGAGGTGACCGAAATTTGAATGATGATATTCAAATTGGTGCAGATGGGGAGGAGAATGAGGAGGTTAACTCCAACGAGTCTCACACTCCCGTCTCTCAGTTCCACGATCTCAGCTACTCCGCATAACCGGTGAGGCTACTGAAGTTGCTGCTGCCAGACTTGAAGCGTGTGAGGCAGACAGGAGTGCTGTTGCCGAAAAGGCTGCGAAGGCAACGTATGAACAGACCTTCAAGGCCGCGATGGAGGGGGCGCAACCTGTTGCTATGACCTCTAACCAGCCTGTTGCTTGAAAAAAAAAACGGGATCTTGTTGATACCTTTGTGAGATAGCCTGTTGTTATTTGGCCTCGTCGCAACATATGGACGCAGGGTCTCGTTGCATCTGCCAGACAACAACCAGACGACTTGGAGGGTATACAACTGTTGTTGTTGCGGACTACGTAATGTAGCCTATTGCCACAAATTTCAGGCAGAATGTTGCTGCGACAGCCGGAAAATCAGAAAAATTCAACGGGCATAATTTTAAAATATGGCAGCAGAAGATGCTGTTTTATCTTATCATATTGAATCTTATAGATTGGCTAATGGAGGTTGCACCTGTTGTGCCAAAAAGATCATTGGAAGAACAAAAAACACAAATTTTGAAAACCTGAAAATGCCAGCTTTTATGTGGAAAAATTATGTACTGAATGACTTAAGCGACTCCCTGTACGGTGTCTATCGGCATGCATTAACGACTAAGCAGTTGTGGACACGTTGGAGAAGAAGTACATAATTGAGGATGCTGGTGAAAATAAATTTATTATGGGACGGTTTTTGAATTTCAAAATGGTAGATGAAAAAAACGTTACGAAACAGCTTGATGCATTTCAACTGATTTTGCATGAGATCCAGACCGAGGAGGTAAAGCTGAGTGAAGCCTTCCAGCACGCTTATGTCCTCACTTACACGCAGCCTGAGAGACTTCCTAAGGGTTCACCCACTCTCAAATTACTCTAAAGCAGACACGTTTAACTCCAGAGTTCTTTTAGTAGAGCTTCCGAAAATGAATGTGTACATTGTTGACATGCATAGTCTATTCAATTTATTTAACCTCTAATCAACTTTTGGATGGCTTAATACCAGCTCATCTACACACGAGAGTTGGCCAAGCAACGGTCCAACTTCAGGGGTATCACATCTTCCCACACTTTAGAATGCAACGTCCACGTTGCACTCCAAGGATCGCCGCATTCCAAAGATCGCCAACTGCTGTCTTCACTCACGCGCACCCTAGGCGCACCCTAGGAGACTTCATAGGGGTTCACCCATCTTTAAATTACTCTAGAGCAAACACGCTTAACTCTAAAATTCTTTCAGTAGGGCTCCCGAAAAAGAATGTGCACACTGTTGACATGAGTAGTCTATTTAATTCATTTAACCTCTAATTAACTTTTGGATAGCCTAATATCGGCTCATCCACACGGGAGTTGGCCAAGCAGCGGCTCAACTCCGGAGTATCACCGTTACCATACGGCAATTTTCTATATACCTAGAATTATAGTATAAAATATATATACAATATCATATTGATTTTTCTATATATCATATCGATTTTATGATATACCAGTATATCGTAAAATGACTGGTATATTATAAAATAAAAAATAAATCAAAATATTAAAAATTATCATGAGTTAAAATAACAATATAAATATATTAATATTTTTAGTTATTTTCATTTAATTCTAATATTTCATTAGTTTATTTTATTTGATATTCCATATATACTTAATATTAAAATATACCAAATGTTGAAATATATTGCTATCATCTTATATACCGAACTCGTGGTATATATTAAATTTCAGTATGATAACAATATGCTATGTTATGCAAAATTTAGTACCATTAGCATATTGATAATTTACGATAATGTATCTACTGTACTAAAAATTATGATATACCAAAATTATGGTAATAGGTATTTTTTATATGATATGAAATAAAGCATATTTTTTGGTATTTTTATTCCACACCTATATTTATATGTATTCAATTAATATTATCGGGGGACACGGTGGCTGGAAGGGGGAAGTATTAATTAATATTGTAAATCAAACTTATATCAGGTCAAGTTTGGATTTTCATCTTGATTTTTACATTTTAGGTTATCAAGTAAATTTGAAAAGCAACGTAATCCAATTTAACTTTTTTGTTTTTATTGGTTCATGTCGATCTGGTTTCTCAAAAATTCAAAAAACTCAAATCAAAACATGAAAAATATTTATATTGAACAAATTTGTGTATTAGATCGAATTCACTTTCGACGTAACTCAAATTTAAGATATTATTTAATTATCAAACATAAGTTCAACCATACTCAATGCCTTCTCTTCAAACTCAATCTAATAATACTCTTCCTTAATGCATAAATATTTTCGATTTAATTTGAGTTCATATATTTTCCAAACATAAAACACAAAAAGGAACATGTAGCATTTCGGTGAATAACTCTTCGATACTAATATTTGTGCCGTCGCACTGGCAATTTACACTATTACATAAAATCAGCACGCCGGCGCCGCGAGCTTGCACTTCTGAGGAAGTTGCTTGGCGAGTTTGGGGTCGACGCCAAACGGAGGCGGATTTGGACTATTTAAGAACTTGCAAAAGCACTTTAGATCCGCGCTTGAGAGCGTCTTGCAGCAGTCGGGCGATGGTGGCGCCGGATTTGGTCCCTTCGCTGCCGGTAGACATGTCATAAGCTGACTTAGAGATACACCGCAAACCTTTAACTGATTTTCGTCTGCCGTCGACGTTGCTGCCACCGCTGTAAGGATCACCAGGAACGATGCCATGGCGAATGCAATCTTCAGGCGTGACTCCATTTTTAAGTATTCCTCAATTGTTTTGTAATTGGATTATATTTTCTTTGTTTTGTGAAACTTGTTGCATTTGTATGGGTATTTATAGATGATTTTACTTCTAAAAAAATAATGATGAATTCGTGAAATAGTATTTCATGTAATAATATTTTTGATATATAAGATTATTGAAATATGATTCATTGAATAACGTTTTTATGAAATAATATTTCTGATATATGAAATATTATGTGTATTTATGCATAATCTCCCTGAAATATTATTTGTAAATATCAAACTTTGCATTGTATTTTTATATAGCGGTGGCACGTCTAATATATCGAAAATTTTGCATCATACTGTAAATACCCATATGAGAAAAATATTGCAATGATACCGTACTGAATCATTTGGTATATCTATTTTCAGTATACCTAGAATAACGATATAAAAAATATATATACCAATATCATACTAATTTTTGTATATATATTGATTTTTTGATATACTGGTACATCGTAAATAAAATTATTAGTATGCTGTAAAATATAAAATAATTTAAAATATTAAAAATGATCATAATTGAAAATAAAAATATCAATAAATCAATATTTTTATTTAATATTAATATTTTATTATAATATACCAAATCTTGAAATATATACTTAATATCAAAATATACTGAACCTTTGTTATATATTAAATTTTATACCGGTATGCTATGGTTTGCCAAATTGGGTACGATTAGCATATTGTAAATTTATGGTAGTGTATCTACCATACTAAAAATTGTGATATACCAAAAATATGGTATGATGGGTATCTTTATTTTTATTTTTACAACTGTATTATGAGTATTTTCTTAGGATGGGTATTTTTATTTTTATTTTTATAACTGTATTATGAGTATTTTTTTAGGAGATGAATAGGTGCTGAATTAAAAAATTTAACATCTTTTTGTGATGCCTAAATATGACATAATTATATTACATAATTAATAATCAATTAATTAATGACATGATTATATATTATTTTTTATATTTAAAAAAAATATATCAATGGATAAATATCCATAAATATTTTTAAAAGCTAGGTATAAAAATACAACTACTTTATTGAATCAGCCGAAAACTCTCTTCGGTCAATAGTACCACAACAATGAAAAATCACATTTTTGACAAAAAAGAATAGTCATTTCACCTCCGTAAGAGATGACCTAGTAGTGTAGGGGTTGAACATATGAACATAAGATCATTGGTTTAAACCTCCGATGCCTCATGTCATATATACATGTATTTCATATATATATATACATTATTAGCGATTGAGATAATTGAATTGTACAAAAATATATCATCGGACAGAAAATGAAGATTCTTCTCACAAATAAATAAATATGATAAAATTATTTTTAAAAATTTGAGGATGTAGTATTATACATAGAAAACATAAAGAATCAATAATTAAATTACATTTAAGGAAAAAAAAGTAAATGAATATAAGTAAAAATAGATTGTTATCCAACTTAATTGCCATCAATCAATAATCCATAATCTTTAATATATTGAATTAAAAGTTCATTGATGTGAAAATTATACTCATTTGTTAAGACAAACACTATATACTAAAAATTTTCATGCTTATTTTTCTTTCGACAAGAACAATAGAGTTTAACAACTATCTCATTATTTTTAAACATATATGGATTAATCTTGTATAAAATATTTAAAAAATAAAACAAGTAGTATATAATGCAATCTTTCTTTGTCAAGACACTGATTAAAATTATATAAAAAAACTATATTTAAGAAAATAAATTACTGCTTATATATATATATATATAAAAGAAAAATCTACGTGGGCTGTATCTTTTTTAATCTATGATTTTTTATTTTTTATGTTAGCAAAAAAAAAAAAAAAAATCAAATAAACACACCACCGTTTTTATCATACATATATTATTAAGTTGGAACCAATAACACTATATATATGAATACATATATATATATGGGTGAAAAAAATATCAAAAATATGCTTTACTTCATATCATATAAAAAATACCAATAATACCATATTTATTATATATCATAATTTTTAGTACGGTAAATACAATATCGTAAATTTTTAATATGCTAATTGTATAGAGTTATTTTGTATACCATAGCATATCGTTATCATACCGAAATTAAATATATACCAAAAGTTCGGTATATATAACATGATACGATATATTTCAATATTTGGTATATTTTGATATTAAGTATATATCGGATCAGAATACCAAATTAAATAATATAATGAAATATTAAGATTAAATAAAAATATTAATATAATTATATTGTTATCTTAAATCATGATCATTTTTAATATTTTGAATTATTTTTTGTTTTAAAGTATATAAGTGATTTTACAATATACCGGTATATTAAAAAATCAATATGATATAAAGAAAAATCGGTATAGTATGATATTAGTATATATATTTTTTATACTGTTATTCTAGGTATCATTGCAATATTTTTCTCATATCGGTATTTACAATATGATGCAAAATTTTCGATATATTAGACGTGTCACCGCTATATAAAAATACAATGCAAAGTTTGATATTTACAAATAATATTTCAGGGAGATTATGCATAAATACACATAATATCACTACTAGAAAAAAGGTTGATAATTGCGGAAATTTGTCGCAAATTTTAATCCGTGACAATTAAAAGTCACCGAAAGTAGTTTCGTGACAAATTTATGTCACAACTTTTTGTTTTGACTATTCCGTAAGTAATATTTGCATAAAAAGTTACAAAAAATTTTCCATGACTATTTAAAGTAACGACTTAGGTAACGAAAATGTCCAAGATATTTCTATTCCGTGTCTTTTGACTATTTCGTCACAAAAATTGTCATGAAATTTTTTTCTTGACTATTTTAAGTTGCGGCAAAAATAACCAAAATATTTCCAATATTTTAAATTATTCTCCTTCGCTTTGTTCTCAGTTAAAAAACTTTCCTAAAAATTCACACTCTCAAAATTCTTTAACAAAAATATCTTCAATTTTTTTAGTTAGATTTGTTGTGGGATTAAAGATTCATATTCGATTTGTTCTATCATGGGAAGCAATCCGTGATAGGCCGAATTAGCTTCAAGGAGATCGCGTGCAACACTTTCAGAATTCTTTAACAAAAAATCTTAAAAAATTTTCTGGTTTGGTTCATTGTGGAATTAAAGACTCCCATTTGATATGTTCTATCATGGGAAGCAATCAGTGACGGACAAAATTTGCTTCAAGGAGATCGCGTGCAACTCGAAGCTTGGATTTTTGTGATATAAGATTTGTAATTTCGAATTTGTCAGATCTCGGATTTTCTTCAAAACTACAACAATCTTGAAGCAAATTCGGGTGAAAATCTGAGACGACTGACGAAATTTCCCAGATTCATGATCAAATTGCAGCTGCCCAGAAAGTACCTGATGACGAAGGAATGATCAACGATGTGCGCGATGGAGGTGACCGAAATTTGAATGATGATATTCAAATTGGTGCAGATGGGGAGGAGAACGAGGAGGTTAACTCCAACGAGTCTCACACTCTCGTCTCTCTGTTCCACGATCTCAGCTACTCCGCATAACCGGTGAGGCTACTGAAGTTGCTGCTGCCAGACTTGAAGCGTGTGAGACAGACATGAGTGCTGTTGCCGAAATGGCTGCGAAGGCAACGTATGAACAGACCTTCAAGGCCGCGATGGAGGGGGCGCAACCTGTTGCTATGACCTCCAACCAGCCTGTTGCTGGGAAAAAAAACGGGATCTTGTTGATACCTATGTGAGATAGCCTGTTGTTATCCGGCCTCGTCGCAACATATGGACGCAGGGTCTCGTTGCGTCTGCCATACAACAACCAGACGACTTGGAGGGTATACAACTGTTGTTGTTGCGGACTACGTAATGTAGCCTATTGCCACAAATTTCAGGCAGACTGTTGCTGCGACAGCCGAAAAATCAGAAAAATTCAACGGGCATAATTTTAAAATATGGCAGCAGAAGATGCTGTTTTATCTTATCACATTGAATCTTATAGATTGGCTAACGGAGGCTGCACATGTTGTGCCAAAAAGATCATTGGAAGAACAAAAAACACAAATTTTGAAAACCTGAAAATGCCAGCTTTTATGTGGAAAAATTATGTACTGAATGACTTAAGCGACTCCCTGTACGGTGTCTATCGGCATGCATTAACGACTAAGCAGTTGTGGACACGTTGGAGAAGAAGTACATAATTGAGGATGCTGGTGAAAATAAATTTATTATGGGATGGTTTTTGAATTTCAAAATGGTGGATGAAAAAAACGTTACGAAACAGCTTGATGCATTTCAACTGATTTTGCATGAGATCCAAACCGAGGAGATAAAGCTGAGTGAAGCCTTCCAGCACGCTTATGTCCTCACTTACACGCAGCCTGAGAGACTTCCTAAGGGTTCACCCACTCTCAAATTACTCTAAAGCAGACACGTTTAACTCTAGAGTTCTTTTAGTAGAGCTTCCGAAAATGAATGTGTACATTGTTGACATGCATAGTCTATTCAATTTATTTAACCTCTAATCAACTTTTAGATGGCTTAATACCAGCTCATCTACACACGAGAGTTGGCCAAGCAACGATCCAACTTCAGGGGTATCACATCTTCCCACACTTTAGAATGCAACGTCCACGTTGCACTCCAATGATCGCCGCACTCCAAAGATCGCCAACTGCTGTTTTCACTCACGCGCACCCTAGGCGCACCCTAGGAGACTTCATAGGGGATCACCCATTTTTAAATTACTCTAGAGCAAACACGCTTAACTCTAAAGTTCTTTCAGTAGGGCTCCCGAAAAAGAATGTGCACATTGTTGACATGAGTAGTCTATTTAATCAATTTAACCTCTAATTAACTTTTGGATAGCCTAATATCGGCTCATCCACACACGGGAGTTGGCCAAGCAACGGCTCAACTCCGGAGTATCACCGTTACCATACTGC